AACACTGACATGCTGCCCCTGGCCTTGTACTTTCTTGTTGAGCACATTCAGTTCCTGTGTAACGTCAACAAGAAAAGCCAAGTCCGCATGAGCCATTTGGGATCACTTAGTAATGGAACAACCACAACCACCCCATCCTTCTCCATGAATTCTTTGGTTTCTGCTCTCAACTCAAAACGTACCTCGGTGAGGTAGATAACATCCTCATATGCTGACTCTATTTCTTCTAAAGAGGCACAGAACTGCCGGTGCTTCAAGCCCATGGATCTGATATGGTTGATGCATTTCACGTCAGACATCACATTGTCGAACTTTAGGTATTTGCTGCAAAGGGCCTGCTGATGGATAATGCAGTGTAGTGCAATTGTGCCATGGCCTCTTCCACACCCTCCTCTTTCAGTTTTCTTTAAACATGTGCCACGAGTCCATTTATTTTTCCTGTCATTGATGGCGCTCCGTCAGTTGTTATTCCAAAAGAAAATTTCCACGGTAAACCTGCATCCACAATGGCATCACACAGCTGGCGGGATATCTCTTGATTTGTTGTCTGCCATACATTGGAATCACTTTAAGCAACTGCTCCATCACTACAAAATTATCATCAACACCACGGACATATATTGCGAGCTTTACAGTGTCAGTAACATCTAAGCTCTCATCTAGAGCGCCTCAGTTAGCATGGAAATGTAAACCTTTCTCGCACAGTTGATCATAAATGTCATCTGAAAGCTCAGAAATGCGCTCTGCCACTGTGTTGGCTGAAAGGCTGATGTTGCTAAGCCGACCCTTATTTTCCGGACAGACTAAACTTGCAGCTTGCAACTAGCAATTTTTGATTAACTCGCCTTCTTTGAAGGACTTTCCTGCTCGAGCAATCATCTCACTCACCACGTAACTAGCTTCAACTGCTGCATCAGTTTCTTTGTTTGCTGTCTTGAAAAAAATCATGCTGCCTCAGTCGACATGTTTTAAGTTTAGCAACCCGGGCGTCTCTCTCTCATTTCCCTGGTATTATGCATACTCCTCAGCATGTCTGGTTAAATAATGACGTCTGATGGTGTACTCCTTGTGCACCACAACTTTCTCGGTTCATGTAAGGCACGTCGGAATGCCCCTGTGCTCAACAAAGCTATAGTCCGTCTCCCAGTTCTCCTGAAATTGTCTGCACTCATCGCCAACCTTTCTCTCCACAGCAGGTTTTGAGAAAGACATGACTGGGGTCGGCTGACACGGATATTTAATTGCACTGTTTGATAAAATATATTTTCCCTCCACTCTGTAACACTCCCAAATCATGTTTAACAAGACCAAGCTGACAGGCTCGAAACTTCCGTCACTGGTTACTGGTACAAACTTGCGGCAATTTTAATAGAGATTGTTCGATACTGAGTAAGATTACTACGCTTTACACAGTTTAGAGTTGCGTATTACCCACTAACATTTTAAACTTTTGATATATGTATATACAATATTCGAAGCGTGTTTTCTCAAAACCACACTTTGGCCGCCATGTTTGTCTCATAAAAACTTTTAGTCCGATTTTAAAATCAACTTCAAAACCTATAGTTATTTATATTAACATAATCAAAATCAGAATGACACTAGTCGATGAGATTCGACTGAAATCGTCGCGGTGGGTCACATTAGAGATCTGACAATGTCGACAACGCGCAAGCCGCATTAATTGAATACTCATGAATATGGAAAGATTTTGACAGTTAAATTTCATTTAAAATTCCCAATTTTATATATACGAATTTTACGGTGGATAGTTCTTAAAGGGGAATAACTCTCGTCAACAGGTTTCACTTCTCCCAGATGTGACTCGAGAATAAAATAAAGAAAAATATGTGTTTTAACATCATGTTAGACTAAGATGTTTGTCCCGGATGTTAATATCCCCCAGTGCCGTCTTAAGACATTGGCCCAGTGGGCACTGGCCCAGTGGGCACTGGCCCAGGGCCCCGCGCATTTCGTGAGCGCCACGTTTCTAGGAAACTTACTCTTATAGAGGCATCATGCTTTACATATTTTTAATGAATATTGAACGATTTTGACAATTAGATTTTATTTAAAATTCCCAATTTCCCAATTTTAACACACGATACATATCAGCACATTCCAAAATTAATATTATAAATGCGAATCAAAGTTGGACAATTTTAAAACTTTTAAAGGGGAATAACTCTTGTCAAGTTTTACTTTCCCCAGGTATGAATCGAAAAAAAAAAATAATACGGTAAGAATCAGCTTCGCAGTACAATGGGACAAAACGTTTGAACTGGCTTTCACTTATGTGCATGGAAAATGATATCCTTACGACCATTGACTTTAAACCAATAATAAAACAATTCTCTGCACACACGAAAATGCGCTGTTAATTTATATTAAATAATTTATTCTATCGATCTGTCAATGATGATAATTTATCATCCTGTATGATTATTTATAATTTATTTCTGATAATGTTTTAAAACTATTTTTGATTTTGAATGATTTTGTTTTTTGTATCAATAAATTTAATTCTTCGAAGTTTAACTTTATTGAATTATTGTTTATTTTTATTTTACATTTTTACTCCTCTTGGTGACTTGATGAGGAGCGGGAACTGTCCCCCCCCCCAACTGTTTGAGCATGGGGTGAGTGCCCCCCTCCCCCCCCCTTCTCACGATCCAGGTATGTTCTGGTACAAGGGGCCTCATTGCATTGCTGTGCCCAGGGCCTCCTATATTGTTAAGACAGCCCAGTTTAAAAGGATTCACTTTTCAGAAACATTTGTTTAATGTTGCCTCTTTTTCTGGAATTCCCAACCAGTGGCTGCAATCAGCTGCATCAGAGCGGAGCTGGAATGAAGATGAAAAGGAAAAAAAAAATTGTAGTGAAAAATCAATAAGCTGACTTCGAAGACCACATGACTGTTCAATGAAAACGAAACGAGCAAACGCTGAACTGTAAAACGGGAATGTGTGTACGATATCAGCCAATCTTAGGACTAAGGGAGAAAACATTAGAATTTAATGAAGACTTTATGTAAAAAAACAGTGCAGGCTATTTATTTGAATATATTATAGTACTTTTAATTAATGGGAGGGTTTTTAAATAGCATAACGTTATGCTAGCTTATAAAAAATGGAGTAATCACTTTTTAGATTACTTATTTAGTTGGATAGCTTTTAAGTTTTAATGTGTTTTTCAGGAAACCATTTAAGTACAAGCATTAGTTCTCAAAGCTATATATATTAGAGATTCTGCGTGTACTACGGGAAGCACAGTGTGTGCTTATCTTAGGGCTGCAAAGGACATTGCTACACGTACATTATAAGTAAAATCAACAAATCAATTATTGTAATTGTATAGTGGACACAACTACTTTAGCCCAAAGATAAGTACGCCATCTGAATCCCTTTTACTTTTCTAACAAAACTTGTGTGTGTGTGTGTGGGGGGGGGGATCTTTTTAAGTCTCTTTTTTTTAAAATGTATTTTATAGATTTTTAAGTCTTGATAAACCGTCAGCACCCTCTCGAAAAGAAGTGGGTAAATGGTGTAAATTGCATACCAATATGTTAAATTTAAAAGGCATACTTAAAATATCACAGTTTGTCAAAATGTGTAGACTATTGAATAGTGCATCTCGGTTAGTAAAGGAGCTAACCCTTCTGGTAATAGAAGTTTTAAAAAAAACTTTAAAATCTCGAATATAAATATTAAAAATAAGTTATCAAATTCAAATAATTTGTTATTTCTTTATATATATATATATATATATATATATATATATATATATATATATATATATATATATATATATCGTCTGCTGAAGAACGCGTTAAGCCGAAACGTGCGGTCTTCTTCTTTTTTTTTTTCTTTCCCCTTAACCTAAACCTGCGGTTCTCAACCTTCCTAATGCCGTGACCTTTTAGTACAGTTCCTCATGCTGTGGCGACCCCCAACCATTAAATTATTTTCCCTGCTACTTCATAACTATAGAGTATATGTGTTTTCCAGTGGTCTTAGGCGACCCCTGAGAAAGGGTCGTTCGACCACCAAAGGGGTCGCGACCCACAGGTTGAGAACCACTGGCCTAAACGCATTGTATAATATTTCTATAATATTTCCTCTTGTTTTCCTGAAATGTATTCTCAATTTAAATATGATTTAATAAATTTGAGGTCAAAATGGGGGTGGGACGTTAAAATATCAATATTGTTCAAAGTCGGGAAAAAATTTCTAACGTAAATACTCCCATTGTTCGTGTAAGAAGTCGATTACAATAAAAATGTAATATTTATGGTATTTCTTGTGTACATGATTCATCTTTTATTTACCAAAAAAATTATGAGCTTTACCCGATGGCCGGGAACCATATTGTGTGTGAAAAGTCATCCTTTAATTACAATATATTGGGAATTAACTGCCAATATATAGGTATATATATTTTAACTATCAACTTTGAAAGCAGAGGGCACCAGACCGAAAGGGGGTAGCGGGTCCACAAAAGTCACGCAACGGCTGTTCTCCTTACTTTTTCGTTTCGCGCCCCCCCCCCCCAACCCAATTCTATATTGCTTGTTAAACGTGGAGAGGCGTGGGTCCAGGCTCGGGGCCCCTGGGCAAGTGCCTCATTTGCCTTTCTTTTTATCCAGCACTGCGTACAGCTTCCGACAACGAACTGAACAACAAAGCCTATGGTGTGGTCTGAGCGCCCGAAGATGTACCCACAAGAACACACGAAGAACGAACGTGCTGGGCATTCGGATTACAAAGCATTGTTCGGATTTCGGGCGAAAATTTGCCAGGAGTTTTTTTTTCGACTTAAAGCCGTTCGAGTTTTAATGCTTTCGGATTCCGAGGCCCCACTATATATTAAACAGGAGAAAATAAATTCGTTTAAATAAACTATTCTTTTTGTTACAATTAATTTGTACAACAATGTAAGATTAGTAAGAATATTAATAATAATACAATTAGTTAAAAGTAAGAGTTGTTTCCCTTGTTTAAACACTATCAACTTGAACAAAGATGGCAGCGGACAAGTGACGAAAGGACTTTATTTAATAAATGTACCTTACTTCTGTCCTCCGAAGCCGACAGCCATCATCCCTATTTTTAGCGTTAATAATTAAATTGTAATAACTAACGCACTGGACAAATAACGTTATACCCAAGTAACAATGAGTGACATGCAAGACGTAAGTATTTAATATTAAAGTGAACTAATGAATGAATGAATGACGAATGAGAACGTTTAGAATAATTTTATTATTATTAGATCAGTACAAAATAAATAATACATTTAAAAATAAATCATTTAACTCTCTGCAGTCTGACGTTTTTTTTTCACATTTCTTAAAAATCTTAAGGTGATTTTTTTAAATAATTAATTAAATTATCTGAAATAGCTCAGATCTGATCAGTTATAATATTAACTTGTTCATCTTTGACTCCTCTGTTATGTGAGGATTATAACAATGAACAAAGATATAATATATAAAAATACCGGTACATGGGAAAAAATAGATCAGATTAGTGAGGAATGGAACGTATTTGACATTAATATCAAAATTAGCATTATTGTACTGAAACATTTTAATTTTTTTTAACTTTAACATCAGGGAATAATGCTATTTTAAATTTAAAAAAAAAAATAAACTTTACATAACATTTGACTCTTGTTTTGAGCTATTTATATAATCATCAAATTTTACTTAGTTATCTTTTACTCAAGGATTATTCAGAAATATATTAAATATACAAATCTATAAGTTATGAGGCCCATTTTTTTAAATATATTACATACAAAACATAATTTTAATTAAAAGAAAAATTATAGTGCATTTTTTAGGAAAAAAAGACAAAATATAGGTTTGCTAAAATTAAAATGTTGACAACTTTTTGATTGTTCATCGAATATTTGTCATAGTCATGTTTGACTATGAATTGTATTAGATGATGAAGTATTTTATTTAAATAAATTTTAAATCTTTTACTTTTATAACATGGATTTTTTTTTCCTTCATACTGTGTGAAAATTTTGTTAAAACTTTGCATAAAATGAAAAAAAATAATTCTCCAATTATATTTTAATTATTTTTATAACTGAGAAAATAAAATATAAAAAAAATATGTAATAATAATAATGTAATGATAGAGAGGCATAACACAGGCCGATAAACTACAGTATTCCTTAATTATATTTATGGACTCTGAACAAATATTATTTCTTAAAACAGTCTGCAGTTTTATTATAATAATTATATTTGATAAATAAGAGCTTGTCCAGGGTTTGATTTCTACTTAAGATTAGGTAAGATTTTTCACCACAAAACATTCTTTCAATAAAGAACCTGTGAAAAAAAAAATTTGATTGATTCATAAATAAATTAACACTAATTCTATCAGTAATGGTATGCTATCAGTAAAGGAAAATACCATTATTCCTAGTCCAAATGCCTAAATTAGTATAAAAGTAAACCATTGTACATAGAAAATACATTATAAAATATGTTATAACAATATTTTGAGTTTATTCTTTATGCATTTTGGTACCAAATTATTAGATTAAAACTTACCACCAACTTGTTTTTTAGGGTAAAATCTTCAAAGATATTCGTCCAGTAACTCTGTAACTCAGTAAAAGGGTGGAGTCCAGGCTTAATATTTAGAATCAATAAGGAATAAGGCCTTCTTGATCCAATATCTGCATTTTTATCTCTCTCTCTCCTCCTTCCCATTAGAGTTAAAGGGCTTTTAATAAAAACATAATTTTTTTTTTTGATTCTGCCGACAGTGGTCTCTACTAATACTAGTGACTAGCGTTGATGGTTATTAAATTTAAACACATTTCTACTATGCAATATTAGAAAATTTAGAAGATTATTTTTGGCTGTAACATATTTTAAAGAAATATATTTAGTTAATAACTCAGAAGTCCTTAACTTTAAATTTATTTTAATTACGCAAGTTCCAATCTGTCGAAATTTTACGCTATTTTTTAAAAATATTTATTTTGCATAGCGGCGCTATTTATTTATTAAATAATTATTGAAACTCAATCAAATTCAAATAGAATATATCAATATAAGTATAAATGGATGATATATACTTCAGCCAATTAAAATTTAAAAAATATCACTTTGTTTTATTATTAATTTCAAAGTCGGGAAATGATAATTAAAATTAAGCTTACTTGTTTACGATAGCATTAGTCGGTACTTTTGTATGCAAATCGTGATAAATTTCATGATTAGAGTCTCCATTTGGATACATTACTTTAGATAAACAAATAACTCCTTGATAAATCGGGAAATTAAAATCATTTGACAATATTCATACTACTATTTAATTTTCTTTGTGAGACTTATATTTTTTGTTTTTTTGGAAATCTGCGAAGCTTTCAAGGGATACTCCGCGCTGAATAAGTTTCCAAAAAAAATTTTTTTTAATAGTAATTTCAAATTTTGTAATAATTTTAATTTTTTTTACAAATGCTTAAACCAATTAAACAAATTATTAAAATATAATAAATATTTTTTTTAATTAAAAAATAAAGTTAAAAGATAAATAAACCACCCACAAAATCTATGGTACTTATAAGTACCATTTTTCTATAGTCGGACTGCAGAGAGTTAAATTAAAGTACGAAATAATTAAATGCAAATGTAGGCAAATGCAAGGTATATATATCTTATAGTAAATGTATATAACATAGAGAAAAAGTAAAGTATAATTATAATAATAAAATATTTTATTCCGATTTGATAATCTACTATATTATTAAGCCTTGCCTTACTTAAGCCAAGTTAAGTTTTTTTGTTTTTTTTCTGGGGTTTATGCAGCCACTTTGATTTAACAAAATAGGCACCTTTAAAATCAAAGTTAGGGCTTTAATTGTTTTGAACAATGTCTAAAATTTACCAATGTTAAAAGCCATTTTGAATGGTGACTGAAATTATTTTATAACTAGTTTTACTGCAAATTTCATGTCTCAGGACCCTATAAAACTACCTGACCACACACAACCATCTGATTACAGTGATGTGCAACCAAAGAGCTATGACCCTGAATTTATATCACAGATCAGCAGCAAAATGCAGGTGCCTGACAGGTAAATAAGTCACACATGATTTTAACATTTGCCTCTTATTAAGTTCTTCATTCATTTGTTTCTTCATTATTATTTATGATCATTATGGTGGTTAAATCTGCAAATAGCACCACTAAAGCTTTGGTCCCAAGACTGGCACTGGTAAGGAAATAGTTTTTTTATTTTTAAAGAATTCAGTCATCTGCTGATGAAAATATAACGAAATAAACATCCCTATGCATTGTAAAATCCTCTATGATGACTCCTTAGCAATAGCATGCACTTTTTTCATTTAGAATGATTCATTACCTTATCAAAACGCTTTGGTTAATAAAAATCAATTTACTATTTAGTTATCCTCACATTACCACCTTCAAGTCATATTTGTTTTCATTGACAGAATTTCACTTGGTTCTGACTATAGCAATGGAAGAGAGAATGGCTATGTCAACTCAGAAATATCTGCAGCCACGAATTTTGTGCGAATGACAGTCCCAGACAGAATTATTTTAGCAGGTGAAATTACCTTTATTATTGTGAAAGATTATCCCACATAGATTTTTAGTAATGACTGTATGTATGATATTTTGTAATGAAATCTAATATCATGCTTTCATTTAGCGTGAATGGAATTAATTTTGGATGAAAAAAGATGCCTACTTTCCATTGGTGGCCATTGAATGTTTAATTTTTATACAAATGACAAAACATCAAAATTTGAGCAAACAGTTTCAAATTTAATATTAGCATGGACTAATTATGTAGTATCAACCATTTTCTTACCATTAAATATATATTAATAATTCCTAAATTTGAGAAATATTGTCCTCTTTTCATATTGTAAAAAAATTGTTTATAAAAATAAATACAGCTGAAGAAGATGGAACCGAATGGGATACCACTGACATTTCAAACAGTAGGAACCATTCTTGGCAGGAATCTTCTCATAAATCCTATAGCTTCATGAAGGTTCCCTATACCCTTGTTGTTGGTGGTAACGAGTCCATTAAAAGTTAGTTTTTACATGTCAAAGCAAAAGAATTTTTTACATTTGGTGGTCCATATTCAGATATATTTAATGAAGATTATAGTATAAAAAAATGTTTGGGCTTTTTGCTTAAAAAAATTGAAACTTGTGCATATGAGCAAAATAACTTGTAAATAGGGAGGATTTCCAGCTTTTTTAGGCCCACATGCTTATTCATTCTGACTTGTCCACTGCATCAATAAGTTTTATGATGGAAGAAATGTAGTAAATGCAAAAACCACTTCCGCATTTTTCTGTTTCTCAACATCCTAAATAAATTCCCAAGAAAAGCAGGTCTTTAATTTTCAGCAACAGACTTGCATATTTATAAGCACATGTTGTTTACATATTGGCCCTTGTAAACTGCATTTGGACCACCTTTTTGTCTCAGGTTCTGATACTTTTTCTAAAACGTTGCATCTTTTCATATAATCATTCTTTAGAAACTCCCAATTATGATCATTACAAATCATTAAAAATATTTGCCTTAATCTGTGTTTAAGGTCTTTTAAAAATATTTTTTTAAATTTTAATTAATTACCTCAATAGTTAAAAACTTCTACTTTATCATGCTTCATTCAACTTACATTCACAAACAAAATATTTGTAGGTTGTTACTACAGTTTTATTTATGCCTTTAACTGTTATCGGAATTAATTTTTTCCCAAAATACAACCGGGTTTAGGTCATTGTCTAAACTATAATAAATTGTTTTTTGTTTCAGTTTTTTAAATATATTTTTTACTGTTGAGTTAATCAGTTTTGGATAACATCTCTATAGTGATTCTTAACAAATAAGTGGGTATTTCTTGTAAAATTAAAAGCTTCAAATCCTTGTAATAAAGTCTTATTTGAAAGTCCATGAAGTGTGGTGCTCTGTATGTTGAAAATTCATTTAACAAAACTTTAAATTATGCCATTGTAGTGGTTTGATTACAGAAAAAAAGTATCAGCTTATTCTTCAGCTGAATATTGAAAACTCTGAAAGCTGTTCTGCCATCCAAAGTCCTAGGGTAGGAGTTGGCAACCTCTTTAAGTGTTCATGCCAAATTTTCTCTTGTGCCAAACAAGAATTTGGCGATCATATTATCACATCATGGAAAAGTATGAGAAAAAGTTTAAAAAATCACACCAGAATAGTTCAAGAGTCATTAACTTAATTTGTAAGCTATGTAGGATTGAATTAACTTCCCCTGTGAATGTAGGGATATTTCTAAAAATTAGCATTAAGTGTAAGTTTAGTGCCAATGTCAACAAAAGTGCATTAAACTCATAATTTAAACTTTTTGGTAAATTATGCATTGAGTATTTGTAAATCTAATTTACAACATTATGTAATTATGTAACAATAGTAGAGTTGAAGCATGATTTCCCTTTTGGTGTCTAATTAACAATTTTTTGTTTTTTTTGTTAAGTTCAGGTAATTTATTATTGTTAAAAATCTTAAATTTCTAGTGCATGAATAAAAGTTATAAAAATACTGATTATTTAAATCTACTTTAGTCTTTATGAAAATACACTTGGACCATTGTTAATCTTGTGTTGAGAATTAAAAATAATTGTAAACCTTTTATGATAAATCTGTGTTAAATATCATGTTTTGTCTGTTCCTTAGGTGACAACCAACACATTGCCATGAGGCAAGATCTAGAGCTTGACCTGCCTGCAAATGTTCACAAAATTTCTGACATGTCTTATGTGGGCTTGATCACACCACCCAGAACATTAACTCTTGAGGAGAGATTCCCAATTGTGGAGGAGACTGATGACCAGAAGATGTTAGCTGGACAAGGTGGAGTCAACAGAAGTCACATGACTGCAAATGGGCATTTGTAAGTATTGTAAATCCAGATTCCTGGGTACTTGCTTAATAATTTGATGTTTCAGCCAATTTTCTATACATTTAATAGTGTAGTAACACTAGTACATATACCTTGGTCTGGAAATTGAGTCAGGGTTGTTTATTTACTCTACTCATCAGAGTTGGTCCTGTCCCTTATGACCCTGGAGTGAATCTGAATGATTCAGTCTTGTTAAATGAAGAAAATGAGGCAACACTCCTTAGAACACAGGTATGTTAATTTTTTTGTTTACATGAGTGAGTCACATAGCTCAATATATAAAGATCACCTAAAGATATGAAAATGTATTTATTTACTTCCTTTTTGTAAGTCTAAGGGTTTTTTTTTAGTCTTTGATTTGGGAAACAACTTGATCTCTAACCTCTTTATAATGTATTTCATGAATAATATTGTAATTTAAGATAATATTACTATTAAAACCAGCTTTGAACACGTTTTATCAAGACAGAAATATTGAAACTAGTGATGTACATGTTAAATGCAGCCTAAAACTACAAGATGTCAGGGGTCACATAAATTATAGGATAAAATAATCACTGTTCCAGGTCGCCAAACTTACTCGACGTGTTCAAGTGATAGAACAAGACAACCAAAGGAGGGCCAGTCGAGAACTAGTGATGTATCCTGTTATACTGGGATATTTTCTGTGGAAAATTCTAGGCTGGCTGACCAGGGATAGATGAATCATTTGTAACTACAGCAACTGATATGGAATGGGATAGTTCACAAGCATCCGACAGGGAATGGGAAAATCCACCAGCGGAGAAATTGTAACATTTTCAATAATACGTAACCCACACATTTAGCCTAATCCTTCTCTTTCCCAAAAAAGCTAAACAACATTATTTTCCCTTTTCTTTTTTTCGTAGCTTAATGTCAAATGAAAAAGTGATATTATTTCAGACCTGGCTATCATAAAAAAAGTCTGATCTCAAACATTATGAACATAATGTTCAGGGGAAAGGGAGACCTTAGTTGTCAACCGTGTGCCAAATACATTTCAAATTGAATTTTTGTGTCTTTAGTTATCCGTTACTATGAAGGTGTTGTATAACACATAGTAGCTTAACCAAAGCAATGTGGAGGAATAGAAAGTGAGTGAATTTTTTGTTTTTTTTTTAGGAAAAAGGATATTGCTTTAACAAGACTTGGTTAATAATTTAAAGAAATCTTTGATGACAGGCCATAGATTGTGAAAACTAAAATCTTTTTACTCTATTTAAAAGAACTCCTGCTCTTTAAATGTCATAAATAGCAACTCAGTATTCCTTGTGGTGCTTTTCTTTAATATTTCGTTCTTAATTTCACAAAGTCCAGAGAATGGCCACATTGTTTACAAATGATGCTATTCTGTCATTTTGTTAGGACATGTTTTTGTTTTTGCTGGGGAATGTAGTGATACATATTTGTGAAACTATGTTAAGATACTAGCTAGTGTGTGATGATATAGTATTTAAAAAAAATAGTTAAATATTCCCTGCTATTGCTAATCATCTAAAATGAGGCATCTATAATAAATTCACTTGTTCATTTTCTTAATTTTGAGTGCATGAGTTGGATGCATTCAGCTTTTATTAGAGAATGGTGAAAACAACTTTTGTTAAGATTTATTTCTTAACATTAAGTGAGTGAGTGAATGACATCAGCCTTCATCATCTTTGTACTTTTAACCCATTTAGATACAGCTTTTTACTCACGCTAAGCTCACCAAAAAAAAATGAGATGATGAGCTTCAGTCATGAGCAAGTAAAATAAATGAAGTGTTGAAGCTTGGTTGAGTTTAGTGAACTTTGTACTGTCCTTGGAAAAACTACATTAGTCTGCATAATTATTTTTTAAATATTTTTTTTTTTTTGTTACAAAGATGATAATTTTCTTATGCCTTATATAATGACACATTGGTGGTAAAGTCTTTTCAAATATGTACATTTAAATTTAACATATTTCAAAATTAAGCCTTGTGAAGAAAGTGATTTCCATTAATTGTATAATCCCTTCCTATGGACCTCTAGATAAGTACATTTGATCTTTGTACAAGATTTCTGTCTTTATAACTTACAATTACATATGCCATGTTCCATTTAAGAGCCTTAATTTCATTTAGACCTCCTAAAAAATCTCATTGATTTATTGACACTTAATATTAATAGTTGTTATAAAAAGACTTTGACAAAAAAATTTTTATTTGACAAACTACATATAATATACTATTTAAAAATATCAAAACTTGTTCAAAGTCTGATTTATGTTAGCCATGGTGATGCATTTTAAAAAGTTGTTTTTTTATTGCATTTTCTTTATGCACATCTTTTTAAATAAATATTCCATTTGCACTTAATTCCTTATAATTAATCATGGTAAATTAACTTAGTGCATTTTTTATGTTTATGCTTTTCTAAGGTACTGGTACGCTAATATTTTTTCAAAACTTTTACTCTCAATCGTAAAACAGAATATGGATGATAAAATACTTGCTATAATTTTTCAGTGAAAAAGTGACACATTAATTTAAAAAACTGGTTCAGATATTTTTTTTCAGTGGAAAATGTAACACATTAATTTGACCATCTGTGGAACCCAGAGCTGTATTATATATTTCACAAATAATTTGCTTCACACGCAATCATTTCCCATTTATGGAATTGTTTAGTAAAAAATATTCCATTTATCTGTGGTCATAAAGTAATCCCAATCCAAATGAATTCCAAGAGTTTCTAAGATCACAGACACTCTGCAAGGAAATTTACTTAATTGTCCATGGTAAGTCCAGATTAATTCTTACATTAGTTTTATGACACACGACTAAAGGGTAATTTCAGTTGACACGTTAAAACTGCAATTTGTAAATTATAAAGAATAATTTATTAATGTAACTATTAAAATTTATAGTACAAGAGCAAGGGTGTACAATTTATAAGCAAATTTGTGTATGTATTTGTAAAAAAAAAACATGAAATTTGACATTGTTGTTCTATGTTCATTAAATATTTTGACAAAGACCAATATGACTTTGTTTTCTTAACATTTAGTTAACGTGATCAATTTTTATTTGTTTCATTTATATTCTTCAAAGACATTTTTAACTAGCTCCCTTACATGTATTGGACAGTTGTATTAGGTATTAACAAAGTGAGATAGGAACTAAGGGGGGGAACCTGCAAGCTGCTCATGTTTGCACATTCAAAGACCTCATTGTTAAGCACTTTGTCCCACAACTGAAAGAACAGAATGAACCGCATATATCTCAGGTGCTTGCTGTTGATTTTCTGCCTGTGGCTCATGTAGTTGATCCAGGCTTATGAACCTTAATAGATTTAAAATTGATGTCTTGTAGACATGCAGTTTTGTCCTCTCTATGATGATGGAGTAGTTTTGTCCTATTCTCTTGTTCATTATAGTCCTAAATGCTGACCCCCCTCCCCCCCCCAATTCAAAATGGAGCTCGAGCTAAAGTTTGACATCTCTTGCATTAATGCATCCTTGGGGGAGGGGGGGGGGGCACTTGACAGCGATGCATACGCTCATGCGTCCACGCGCGAGAATAACAAAGGATAATAAGGGTGTCACGTGAGCTAATTGTTGTGTTTATGTTGTCATATTAAATAGGAAAAAGGTTAAAAACTAGGGCTGAAAAAGTACCCGGTGGCTCCGAGTCCGGGTGTTATAAAAAGTAAGTATTTAAAACAACAAAAATTTTTTGTTAAAACAAGCACTTTTCATTTCTCCCCATTAGTGGAACATTGTATAGAAATTTAGAATTTATTTTTTAAAATTTTTTATTTATTATATTTTTTTTTACCGAGACTGGGCATAGACTAATAATACTCGGCAAGGCTTTGCACCATGCCAACTGAAAACTACTGAGTTAGGACCATCCATAATCTAATACACATATATATATATATAATAGATATAAAAAAAAGATTAACAGATCGCATTACACGTGGACATGGCCTTTTAGTTTTAGGACTTTTTAACATTAAAATTTAGAGGTTCGGATTATGAGTGTATCGATGCTATGGAAGGCATCACCAGCCGTATCGTTAATTAGACCCTAGTCTACAAATCTAATCATAGTAGTAGTATGACTTAAGGATCTAAGTAAGGCCTAAGCCTAAGGTATGGCCATTTGTAAAAATAGTGTCGCCTTAAGCCTTAAAGATTTTAACATAATAAAATAATATCATTACTTTACGTGGTTTAGTTAAGCTATAACTATAACATTAAATATTATTGTCACAAACTTAAACTAATAATTACTAAATTAGTAACAGTATAATTTAATCAATATATTACATTATAAATGGGAGGCCTAAGAAATTATGTACAATTTTATTATACTAATATTTATTATACTATATATACTAAGTCTTATACTTAATGATTGTATGATTAAAGTAGTATGCTGATTGCGAGAGGGTCTATTAATCAGCTATATAATAAATTCAGTTAGTCAGATAGTATGCACAAATGTTTTATGTGCAATATAGTTTTTATAGAGACGATAGTATACAATTTAAAATAGATCAATGGTGAGGGAAATAGTGGAAACAGAAAAATGATAAATGAAACGAAACTCACTTCCTCCAGATTTGCTACCGTCTGACGGCAGACCCCCATTTTGCTGGTGAAGGTGGAGGTTGTAGGTGATTTGAAATCCTCCCATGTTTCTCGAACAAACTCTTGCACTGCTATCATCTCATTTGTTTTTGTTCACGTCGAAGGAAATATTTTTTCCTTCCTCTTCCTTCATAGGATGCAAATTGTCTGCTAGGAGGAAGTAACTTAAGACCTTTCGTACAATATGGTGGAAAATTATTTAGAGTTGTCTCCCTTAAAAATTACCGGAACTGTAAAAAAGAACATAATGGAAAAGCCTTTTAAATAAAACAATTCACTTTAAATTTAAGCCAAGTTTTTTCTACATCTTATTAGCAGGCTGCTATAATTTGCAAAGAAAAATGAAATTAATAAATGTTAAATCAGGAAAATTAACTTTTTATCAGTCAATCAGTATTTGGCTGATTTAGCAGCCGAGTTCCATGGGAATTAGATCCTCCCCAAAGGGCCTAAACTGCTGAAAATTTAATTATTTTAAATTTACAGTTTTAAAAGTAATGTCTATTATTGTCCAAAATATGGACCTTTCAACCAAGCTTCATACATATAACTATATATATTGAACTATTGGGGCATCCATAAATGACATCAGGCTCTTTGAAACATTTTTTTACCCCCTACCCTTATACCCCCCCCCCTAATCGTCAACAAATTGTAACAAAAATTAGACACTTTTACCACAGAGTCAAAAATTCGTAGGACCCCCTCCCCCGGGACCTCCATCTTTTTCTTTTTTTCAACATAGATTCGTGACCTCGTTTATGGATGGTCCTAACTCAGTAGTTTTCAGTGGGCGTGGGGCAGAGACTTGCCGAGTATTATTAGTCTATGCCCAGTCTCGGTAAAAAAAAATATAATAAATAAAAAATTTTAAAAAATAAATTCTAAATTTCTATACAATGTTCCACTAATGGGGAGAAATGAAAAGTGCTTGTTTTAACAAAAAATTTTTGTTGTTTTAAATACTTACTTTTTATAACACCCGGACTCGGAGCCACCGGGTACTTTTTCAGCCCTAGTTTTTAACCTTTTTCCTATTTAATATGACAACATAAACACAACAATTAGCTCACGTGACNAAGAGAATAGAACAAAACAACACCATCAACATAGAGAGGACAAAACTGCATATCTATAATATATAAATGTTAAATTATATATATATATATATATATATATATATATATATATAAAATACAATTTATATTAATGAAATAATTATTTATTTATTAGAAAGATATGAAAATCCTTTAAATTATTATAATATTTAGTTGAAATGCACTGTAAAATGGTGACATAATTGAAATGAATGTTCTTTTTGGCTAAAACTAAGGACGGATGCCACAGCGTCTTTGTGTGTTTATTATAGTTGCAGTGAATTAAGGTTTAGGTTAGGTTGAGGAATCGATTTAGGGTTCAGGTTAGGCATAGGGATCGATTTAGGTTACATTGGTGAAATTCGATAAAATAGTGGCATTCGTCCTTAAAATTTACCTTCTTTTTCTTCAACCAATCAAAAGGAAGCAATTTTTTGTTATGCCCTATACTTGTTTTTTTTTTACCGGTGGTAATTTTTGTGTATTCAAAAGTGAATTTCTTTTTAACCTTATATTAAGTAGAATACTGGCAAAATGAATATCATTCAAAAAAGCTTTATCAATCATCAGTTTTAGAGAGGGGTGGGAAAAATGCTCTGTGAAGAGTGGGAAAGTTGTTGTACACATCATTCGGGTCCAACACTTCACTTTGGAATTACCTATTGTGACGTCACTGCGGTTAGGTTGAGAAAATTATTTCAAAACCTGTACTGCCTTATCTCACCTAGTTTAGGCCTACCGCTCTTAGTGGTAGCTTACCATATGTACTGATTCTAAAACCGGCTTATAAAAAAAAAAATATTTCAGTGGGGGATGGTTGGTTTATCAGCGTGTCTTGAAAGTTTTTAATAAATTTCTCCACATCCATGGATGCAGTTATATGAAAAAATTAAGAAAAAAGTAATTACCAAAGTTACTGTACAGTTAGTGTGCAAAATTGGTTCTCAAGTTTTTTCCTTATTTGGTGACTGTCATGATTGTACATGCTTAGAGATTATCAATGTGCAGGCATTAAATAATGAAATGTTAGATTGTCATATTTTATAAGATAGTTGCAGCAGTTGGAAGATATTTTTAGAAAGGTCAGAGAAACTATCATTTTGATATGATTTGACCTTTATTTAATACCAGTTACCAGACTTCAATCTGCACTTATGCAAACTTGTTAGTTGATATTTATATAACAGAATACATGCATGAAACAAGGTGACGAAATATTTCTTTCCAAATGGCAGTAATTAATTTTTTTAAATGTCAGTATGGTTAGACTCCTCCTCCTCATCCTCATGTCCCTTAGTCCATTGGTTAGACTACATGCACACAAAGCTAGTACCGTCTTAGACATCATATTGTATTTATGTTAGTTTCAAAAAACAAAATACTTTTTGTTAAAAGTCTGGATTTTTAAAAAAAAAGGGATTTTATTGCTTACACTGTCTTATTATTTAATAATGTCTGCTTTTGAGTGGGTTAAGCACTTTTAAATTATAATTATCAACTCCTCATCCATGGTGCTTTGCCTTAGAAGAGTTTTTAGTGATTATTTTATAACTAACTCTACACTGTGAAACTGTGTGTGTGTGTTTTTTTTACAAACCCTGTTTAAACAGAAATGCTGTAATAAATAGATGTTAATTAATTATTTTTTTTTAGTTGAAAAATTAATTTAAAATTATCATTTGTTTTTTTTAAAATTATTTTTTTTAGACTCTGGATATGGACCGAAGCAGTCTTACGAAAATGAAGAAATCAGTTAAAGCTCTGTACAACACTGGCAATAGTAAGTTTTGTTTCTGTGAAATGAATATTTTTCACATTACAATTAGTAGCCACTTGTGTCTTTCCTTACCTTTTCACATATCATATCAAAGTGTTGCTTTGAACAACTGCTGTGTGACGCTTAACTGTTATTTACACACAGAAATGACTTTATTTTTATTATCTGCATTAATATTCTCACAGTTTCAAAATTAGCAGTAGTAGAAGAAAAAAGAGAGAGGGGGCCAATTTAATTTAAAAATTAAATCCCATAATCTCAATTTTTCTGACATGGATCAAAATGGGAGTTTATATCATCATATTTATGAAATGTAATTCAACAATTAACCTGCTCTTTAAATCTTGAAATGCCCTGTTTTCTCACAGTGGTTTGATAATAGAAGCCAGAATGATCGATACATTGATCGTCAGCCTGAAAATATAGGGTAGAAGAAGAAGTTATGTAAACAGCCGGACAGTCTAGAAGTTGGCCCTACTAAAGCATGCATTAATTTGTTTGCAGAAAGATCAAGCTATAGTTCCGCTGATAAATGGCCATTCTTATGCAATCAATTTATTAACTATTATGAGGGCTGGCTGTTACCCGCCCTTCTAGTGAGGCATGAAGAGTTTTTACACCAAAAAGCACAACCGCTCTGTTTGAGGGAGGCTCAAGTGTTTAAGTGGTTGTTACACTGACCTTCCACTTTTGGAAACAAACTGGAAAAATTTACATAATTTTTCTGAAATAAAATAGCTTGCTTTATTTAAATTGTACATATATAAATATGCAAACATGCTAGATATGGTCACAGTAATCTTAGACACATAATCCCTGCATGTGATTAGAACTTTTTTTTTTAAAATCTAAAACCTAGCAGGGCAAGAATAATTGCATAATTGTTGAGATTAAATCTGTATGAGTATACTTAATGAATTCATTTCCCGGTATTTAATAGGGAGCATGTTGGCTTTTTGTTCTTTATTTCCATTAAATGGATATCGATATGTTTTGTTTTTTTTTAAAGTAATGGATAGTGACGAATACTACTCAAAATGTCCAGTGAATATTTAAGTCATAAAATATAACTTAAATTTTTGGGGAAACATGATCATGATGTTGTATTAGAAAGTAGATCTTGATGCTGCATTAGACAGTATATCATGATGCTCTAAGAGAAAGTATATCATGATGTTAATTTTTTACCAGTTATGTACCAAATATTATACCGCATAAAAGTAATAGAAGTCTTTGTTGTTTTTTTTTAGTTTTTATTTATTTAAAAAAATTTTTTTTAGAACTTAAGGATAATAAAAATGAAATGATATGCTGGAAATATTGTGTTCCCCAAATTCACAGAAACTTTGGTTAGAATAATTTATCACCACTGTTGGTGCCCAGCTAAAGTTGTCACTATTTGCAATCATGGAATGTTAATTGCTCTTTATGAGAGGCAGGGGTCATTAGTTGTGGCTAAACACATTGTCAGAATGTCATGGTGGGTTGATTTGTGGTGGGACACATGTGTTAGACCAAACCATTAACAATGCTCAACACATCTGTCTCCAGCACTGCAGGACATTTTGTGACTGTTGCAAAATTTGGGTATTCTTAGAGTGAAAGAAAATATGTGCAAATATTTTAGGTAACAGGCTTTGATATAGAATTTAAGAATTTGTAAAGTATCTTAACGAGTATCTTACACGATCCAACCACACTTTATGTTTAAAAAGCTTTCTTCGTCAGGTGTATTTTCAAGAATGGATGCTGAACTTTATAAAAAATCACCCAAATATCATTCAATAAGAGAAATAAGTACCAGGGCGGCACAAGGTTGCATTCTCTCCCCTGTCCTATAATACAATATATACCAATGATATCCTGAGCCCAAGCAACACCGTTCCAATGATTAAATTTTCTGTTGATATAATCATCGTTGGCTTAATATCTAAAGGGGAAAGCTTATACACTAACTTTATCATAAGCTTCATCATTGGGTGTGATGAAAATTTTCTTCACCTGAATGTCTCAAAAACAAAATAAACAGTTGTCAGTTTCTTGGGGAGGGAATCACCCAGTTGCAGATCTCACAATAAAAAAAGTCACATTAATAGCAAGTAGGGACATTTAAGTGTCACCATTAATTAAAAGCTAACATGGCATGAACTCTACAAAATTCTGTTTAAAAAAATTCAACCGAAAACTTTCCAACTTTAAAAATTGTATGATTTATTAAGTTAAAAAACAAGTTATTAAGTGCTTCTACAGTGCAACAATTG